GCCAGCTTAAGGAACGTATTGAAGAATTAGAAAGAAGACTTGATGAGATGGCACAGAGGTATACATTTTTCTTAAATACTATTCTACTTTAATCGGATAATTAATATGCCTCATTCGCCTCATCCTTTTATATGCATCTACTGACTAAGACGAATTAGATCAGAAAACAGAAAAAACCACATAAATGTGTAAATGGGAAGAAAAGTATTTCAGACGAACGACTGTGATGGAAGGTGAATTATCGGAACTGAAAGAGCAGTTAGCAGCTCGAGATGTCAGTCCGGCTTTAGCCTATAAACCTACATGCCCAATGGACCATGACTCTACAAAATCTTCCAAAATCCTCGCTATTAAGACCTCCAGTTTGGTAATATTTCATATTTGGGTATTCTTTGTTTCAGAGTTTAGAGTGACTGGTAGTTGATGAAAAAAAAAAAAAAAAACATAGATTGGCAGAAAAAAGGTGTTGTCAACTTGTGGTTATACTTATCCGTTACATACATCTCTCCTTGGATCACTTCAATATTCCAGCCTGGTAAATCAGCATCGACATCAGTATATCGTCGTGTTACTGGTACAGAGAGCGCTTGTGAAAGTGCTGCAGATGACGCATCTGATGAGCAGAAATCATCGCGTGACAGCCCGATACCACGGATCTCGGAACCAGCTAGTCCAGCTGTGCTTCATAAATTCGCTCATCGTAGAATATTATTCCCGTTAAGGAGGCGTTATATCACAAGTAACTTTTATATATATATATATTATATTTAAAAACAATTATTGGCTGCAGGAGAAATTTCCAAAAGCTGCTTTGCATAAATCAATACTAATTGTAATGAGTTTGGTTGAAAAATGAATGAAATGATATTAAGATGAAGGAAAAGGTTACTCAGTTCCTTGATATTAAATCAAAATTGTAGTTTCAGCGGAGCATGAATTCTGGCGCGATACGTTTCAGTCTATTCAGGTAATTTGCAGTTGTATTTGTATAGCAAATTAAATTGGATGAGTTGAAGTCAAAAAAAAAAATCGAAAGACAAAATTTTTTTTTTGATACGTATCACTTCGTATAATTTATTTAACAATCATTCTAAGATGCCTTGAAATCACCTATTTATAAAAATTTTTTAAGGTTAGAAAGTGGGGGAAATTGGGTGCAGAAGTTTAGCGCCTTAATGAATATATTAGTATTACTGCCATATAAACGCTGCTGCGCTTCAATAGATTTTTGTAAAATGTTATGAAGAATAACAGAAAGTTGAGTTTCACAAGCGGAAGTAATAATAATGAATAAAAAAATAAAAGTCAAGGCGATACACAACAAAATTTGATAAGTGTAAATATCATTAAGGGGCTCCAGGTGCTGCATTGGACATGTGATGATGTTTGTCAGCTATTGATTCAAATGGGTTTGGATAAGTACATTCCTGAATTTACCGTTAATCAAGTTAATGGTACCAAATTTCTGGACTTGGATGGGAACAAGTTGAAGGTAATTTCAGCTGTAATTTGTTGAAATAACTAACTTCTCTTGAGACAGTTTCTTGGCTAAAAAAAGCAATGTTCGGACTAAAAATACAATTGAGCGCTATTTCACAGAAAATATATCGAGGTTTGAATTTCCCTGAACTTTTTTTAAAGTAATAATAACAGTGGCGTTTGCAACTGTTATCCAATTCTTCCTCACCTAGCTTATTTTAATTGTGTTTTCGTTTTCGAAATAATTTATCATTTATATACATATTGATTTTGATTTATATATTTCATTTTAAACTTCAGTCCGAGGCGTAGTTATAGTCCTCAATAGCACTAAGTAGTCCTTTCTTTAACTTCATTTTTTATGATGCATCATCTCGGTAGGGTCAAGGAAAAAAAGATTTATCAATAGTGTGAAACTGTCGCCACTTGTGTTCAGTGGTCATTTATCACATTCGTAGTCGAAATTTATTATTTTATTATTTCCATTTTCTTGTTTTACACCCTAAAATTTCATCTTTGTTCCGTGTTTTTTGTACACTTCTAAAACTTTTTTGCATCCGACTTCAAATTTTATTTTATTTTTAGATATCCTTTTTACAAATATTTGAAACTCTTTTTAATGAATTAATTGTCTATTTGATAAGTTGGGACAATAGTGAATTAAATGGTATTAAAAGTTGTTTGGGAAGATAAGCTTGTTATATTTGAAAGATGATAATTTCACAATTTGAAGTTAGCAAAATAGTAGTCTCTTTACCATTGAAAATGACATTAATTTTGCAAAAACTGTGAAGAACTGCAAAGATATTGATGATATGTTTCTAATGTAGTATGATTTTGATCTCGGTGGGTGACATCTCGTTTGTAACATCTATTAATCATTCTGAAAAAAGTATCGCACACTACTTGTGTGGTCATTTAAAACTTTTGTCTCTCTTTCATTAAATCATTGTGAATATAGGAAACTGAATGTTGAAGGGCAAATGGGAATTCCAAGGCATAAATCTCAAAATTTAAGTTTCTTACTCATGTAAAGAGATTTCCGCAAGAAAAAACCTTTTCCTACCTACTGTTAAGCATGATTAAAAACTTAACCCAATAAATTAGTTTAAGAAGTAAATTAAACTAAAATCAAAAACTACTCATAAAATTAAAACTCTGATGAAATTTGCATATGCACTGCAGCAATATATTTATGATTGTTTTTTTACCTGTCAGTCTAAATCTACTTGGAAATGCTGTATTCGTAATTTTCCGTAATACAAAATGTGGAAAATGTGGAAATTCTGCTATCAACATTTGTACTGTGATATTGTGAGGAAAAGTCAATTATGGTATCATAATCTGTTTCTCTGAATAATGCAGGATTTTCAAACATTTTCATGAATGGCATCAGTGTAAAATCGATTGTCTATTCGGGTTCAATTCATATCGATTTTTACATTTCCAAGCATATCTCTCAAGTCAATTTATGGAATTATCCATATTTTTTGATTTTGTATGACTCATATTAAGAGTCTGCCGTATGCACTTGATATCAGTTTCTGGATTGGGGATTTTCTTTACTGTAACCATAGAAACATTCTTATTCTAAAATAGAGAAATCGTAATTATTCTCATCATTAATTACTAACGAAGGCTTCATCTAAACATTTAAATTAAAACCTGATGGCATTGTTATAAATTACTACAAATTTTTTAATGAATTCCAATTTAAATGAAAAGAATGACGCAAACTGAAAGTGTTTGTTTTCAAAATATTTATTTTTTCTTTCACAACATTCGTACGATAATGTTGCCGCTCTTTGCTCATTATTTTTAATTAGAATTCAATCACGTCAAAATGGTTATGAAATAGCTGGATAGTGTTTTGTTTTGAGAAATAAAATTTTTTTCAAAACAAAATGAGCGATTTTTATACGATGAAGTAATAATCTTTATGTAATAAGCGAGATTGATATTATTAAAAATAATAATAATAATAGAAGCGTATATTAGTTAGTATTTCCTGTGAAATGTGCTGATGCATTCATTGCATACAGGTTATCAGAAAAATGCATACTTGTATGCAATGAATGCATCGAAAAAGAAAATTAATTTAGGAGATTTAATTTTAATTGTCGTCCAAAATTTCTCTCGCAGTATTATTGTTTCAGGCAATGGGTATTCAGAATCATTCTGATCGTGCCGTAATCAAGAAAAAGATCAAAGCTATTAAGTCGAAAATTGAACGTGAACGAAAACAGCTGGAGAAGGAAAGTAGATTAAGGACAGTTGCGCCAGTACATTAATTAATTTATAAGTCTAACATAATACATCTCTTAAAGATGGATCTGAGGAAGCAATCTTTTTTCTGTTCTCTATTTTTATGAAATAAGCCTGAGCGTAACATTGCATCAATATATAATATATCTAACATTGATTTGTCTGTACTTTGTTGGGTGGGAACACTGGTGCTCATTTATTTATATGATTGTACATCGCATCACCAATCTATATGCTCTAAGCAATCTACTAGAAAAGAATTAGTTAAAATGGTGAATAAACTTTATCTCCCTAAAAATGCAAAGCAGTTAAATTTAATTGCTTTTTTTTAAACTAATTGTCAAAACATGATAGTTTTTGGTGATGTTTTTCTTTCTTCATCTTTAATTTGCTTCATTCATTTTCACATATTCCCCATAAGTTTGTGCAGAAATCAAACTTAAACATGTCGAAATTAACTAACTATACCACAATTTAATTCATGAGCATAATAGGATGAATCATTGGATAAATTGCATTAACCATTTAAACATGTCCCATATGTGAGCAATAGTTATATCCGAGAAGTTGACGTAAGATACACATTATTTAGATGAAGATTTGATGAAGTAAGCAGTCGAAATGATGAGATACAGTAACCATATGTAATATTCGCTACTTTTACACTGGGCCTTATTCTTATTCTTTGATTCCTTGTCTATATGATGCTAGAAATTGATATTGTTATATTTTTCTTCCTCTTTGATATTTGATGACCAATAATCTAGTTTCAAATGCTAGGCCTTGTTTCATTTTTTTTAGCACCATATGGTATGCATTATTTTGTTAATCCGTACTGATGGGTGCAGCACTTAACAAAACTAGATCCAGTAAGTGTGAACCCGTATATGTTAATTTAAATCTTATTATCGTTGTGATCAGCAGTATTAGTACTTTTGTTATTGTTGTGCCGTTGCTTCATTCCAAGAATTCAGCTTGTCTATTATGGGTTGTTGAATTCTTCATTATGAAGCTAACAATTAGAAGAATATATGTTAAATAGATGAATTAAATATGTAAGATACGTTTGAACTTGTTAGATTTGAATTACATGACATTTATTCATCACTAAGAATGTGACTATGCTAATTTATTGTGCATCTGATAAGGTCAAATCAGAATGATTATTGGTGAAACATCGATTTCTATTATGCTACAATTCTTGGAAGCAAAGAATGATGCCTTTTTAATTATATACAAGTATGCAACAAGATCGGTTAAATCACTCTTTCTTCATCTTCGCCTTTTTGCTCATCAGCTAATTCCTGCCACTTTTTCATGTTGTACCTGAAATGTCAATGTTATATCAGCAATATCACGATCGCTGTTTTCTTCTAATTAATTATGTCTTTTTAAGACTTCTTCTATGTAAGGAAAGGTGGTAGTTTGTTTTGTGAATGGCAATTAAAGAGTTCGGTGTACTCACAAACAGCGGTCAAGCAACTGTTGACATTCGGGAATCGTCGTGACGATCAGTTCATAACACGGAATGCAGATATACTTCATGAAAGTTACTTGCATCTGGGGTAGTTCATTTACCTTTTCTCGATCCATCATTGCAATCGGATCTTGTCCATTTTTTCGTTCCTCATCTCCCTGAAGATTGGAATGATGGACTGTAGCCAATACTAAAGATTAATTAATCATTACTGATAACCTCGGGACCTATAGATGGTTAGTTTGTATAACGTCAATTGCTCCATCTGCAATTGATCATATCACGCACATTTTTACTTCTCACTAAATTTGTGAGCAACCAATTAATCTCTATCGGAAGGTATTATATGACAGGGTATTCAAGTTTAACTTCAAGTGGTGTAAAAGAAATTGTTTTTCAGTCGTTTTACAGCATAATTTAAATCCCTTCCCTTGATGGGATCGGCTGATAAGTCGTTTTCTGCATGAAACTTTTTTTTTTGCTTGAAGATTTTAAAAATTCTAAGGGCAGATCAAATAATTATGCGAAATTGGTGGATACCAGAGAGACAAAGTCGCTAACTTGCTCATAAAATTCCTCGAATATTGTTTTGACAGCTTCAGTATGAATAGGCCATGGCTTCGATGCGGCAATCACATCGCAGCCAGTCATCAAAATAGCTTTCATTAAAAACCTAAAACTGGTTGAAAGTTGATTGATTTGTGAAGGTTTTAGCTGAATTCGTCTTTTGCTCCTAATTTATCATCCGTTATCATTTACTTTTGGCTTGTAATTATGACATCTTCATTCGCTATATTTACTTTTATGATTCATCTCAATGCTAATTTATCTCTTTGAAAACACTTGGAATAGAAAAGCATTTAGCAAATTTCAATTCTTTAATGCTAGATGTGCTTACCGATGATCTGCATTGTCCCAATTGAAATTACCATCAGCTAGAATTGCTTCCATTTCCCTTTTATTGCTAATGAATACCTCCAGATCAGTAGCTAATATGCAATGCTTAATAATACCCAATATTTCCTTGTATTCTTCTGAGGAGAAAGACTTCAAAATATTATGTCCAACCTGAAATATGCTACAATGATCTCACAAGGCGATTAATTCGGAATTGCTATACACAACGGAAATTGAAAAAAGGAAGAAAGAAGACCTGTTGTAAAATAATAACAGTTTGATTGAAATGATGATGTTCCATCACTGATGTTGAATAAATTGATGCCAAAGGGCTACTCATCGATTTCATATAGGCATTATTCTTGCCGCGGTGATCGAGATCGTGACATAAACACGCTATGTATAGTGCTAGAGACTGCAAAATAAATGTTTTTTTACAAGTAAGAAATATTTATTATGATTTTGAGATAAATTTATAAGTATCTCATTGTTTTGAGTAATTTCAGTCTGAGATTTGATGATATACATTAAAAGATATTTCGGCTCCTGAAGTATTCCCACATTTCTGGGGGAATTGATATGATTTTTTTAATTGTAATTACTTCAACATAAAATATTGCTAATGTCCTAATCAATAAAACTTATACTAGTAGTGAATATATCCAGGACAGATATTGCAAGAAATATCATAATTTTACAGTCGATGTAATTTACCTGTGATGCAACACATAAAATTCTCAAAGTTATAATGTTTCAAATTGCTATTCTAGCCCTGAAAGAACGGCACTTATTGAATTTTAATTTTTTATTAATTTTATTTTTTTGCTTAACAGTTGAAAAATATTGAAGTGACTAGAATAAGCACCTGTTTCAAGTTGAAAATTGTAGTAGTTCGAAGTAAGCAGTACATAGCGTGTGCTACAGTCCATCCATGCAACCAGTTATGGTACACTACTTGGCGGTAATTTTTGCGCACAGTGAGTACAAAGCGAATTAAGTCATCTTCGTCATAATTGCTGAAATATTCTAAAATGATAAGAACCAACACAATACGTCACCTTTCAAGCTAACTAGTTAAATTTCTCAAAAGAAAATTAAATTACAGGAATGATTTACATTTTTCTATTAATAATAAATAATTAGTTATTGCACGAAACCTTTCATTCATTTCAATTAGATATTCTACATTAATAATATGCAATCTATTATTTCATCATCAACATTATAATAACATACAATTTCCCTTTAAAAAGCTTTCGGAACATATAAATAGCATAAAGCGGCTTCTCAAGCTCAGTTAATTGAAGTCCATTAAATTCGAATCTATAAAATTATGCTAATTATTTTATTTTCCATATTTTTGTTCATTCTTTCTTTTGAAGAATTTCCATCTTCCTTTCTATTTTACCATCTATGTTTACAGTCAACAAAGACGAAAAAGCATCACCAATCAGTGGCGTTTTAGAGAATAATGCCTAAACATATTTGTGATAGTTGGATCTAAACTAGAATTTAATATGTTAAATTATAAAAAAATATGAAGGGTTTCACAATAAACTTGCATTAAATAGCTTCAAATGATCAAATTAAATGAATGATTCATTTAAGTTAAAGAAGAAATTCAGAAAGAGAGCAATATGGAACTAATAGAATAATTATCATATTGAAATTCAAATTGAATGCAGATGAAAAACAGAGATTTGTTGACAGACTTATCCAATTCCTTGATTTCATCGTCAATTTTGACACTTTTTAGCTTCTTCACTTCTTCCTTGTTGCATACACTATGATATGCCAATACTTCTAGTGCCACCCGATACTTCTGCACATATTACAATTAAGTTTTATGCATTAGATTCAAGTTAGATGTAAACTTTTCACAGATAAAACTGTCCAAATCTGAAGACATCTGAGAATTTCATGGTATTATCATTCATTTTTTTTCAATCTAATTATTAAAACTGCTTTATATTTATGCTCGATCTCTTCCATCATATTTATGCTCCATTTCTCTCATGAAGTTTGATAGAACCTGCTCAGAACGTCTTATCTGATTATAAAGCTTGGCATGATGCAATGCTAGGCCACAATACACGGCGAATGTTTCAAAGGAATTTTGATCTCGTTTTGTGAATGGTCCATCCGCTTTGTTAATCATTTCTACTACACCGATCACTCTATAATCAACAAACAACGATATACAAATATAATAGTTAGGAAAAGAGATGCCTAAGTTTAATGTATTATTCGCGATAACACGGAAGTATTATTAGCGGAAATTCAAAAATTAAAAAGTTTACTGGTACTAAAGAAGTTGAAACTTACGATTTACGAATGAAAATAGGCATGCAAAGAATATTCCTGGTTCTGTAACCCGTCTTTTGGTCTATGTCTTTGTTGAATCGCGGATCTTCGTAAGCATTTTCGATATTCAGAATTTGTCCTGTCATAGCAACATATCCACTGATACCTTTGTTAGCTGGAAATCTGTAAAATTGATTTCATTACAAGACAAGAATACGATCGATCTGACATCATTAAGATCATGTCAAAATTTAGAAGTTTCTGAACAGTTTCGTTAACTATTCTGACTAATTGAAACAATGTCATAGAACGCATATTGCAATTTTCTTTATAATTTCCCAGTAAGCGATTTCTATGAAAATACCTAAATCACCAACTGTTTCCTAAACAATTTATATCTTGAATCTTTCCCTACTAAGTTTCAATCTCTTCTCCATCTATGAAATAATAGAAAGTAATTATCACTAACCTAATCTCTTCATTACCATCTTCGTTAATTTTAATTTGTTCATCTTCTTGAGTACCTACATCGAAGATTCTAGCATACAGTTCTTTTCTTCTGTGATCTACAAGAAAGAGCGAAGATCGATCTGCATTTGTCAACTTTTGAGCGAAATTCTGAAAATTTCTAACTCAACTTTATGAAATCTTGAATATTTCAATTAGAAGATTCATTAGAACGAAATGTGTCTCTTACTATTCCTTCCACTCTGAACAATGACTGAATGATAAATACACAATGGGATGAATGAATGACTTACCATAACTTTTTTGATAACAGCATCCATACTGACAATATCCTGAAATATGGATCTAATAACAGGACGAGTTATGTGTGTTTTGATATAAATATTCCAATGGACTTACTTCACCACATCGAGCAGGAAAGTATTTAGCTTTCGTTGTTCATTGTTGTACCACAAATAAGTAGTATCATCTTTATTTGATGTAAGCTAAACTATTTGCAATTAATCTCTGAGGTGCAAAAAGAGAGGAAAAAAAGACGTAACATAATGAACATAATTAAAGAAGCATTTGTGTTATGTGAAGTTAAGCTTAGAAAATTCGAACATTTCTTTTCGCATTCACATTTTAAAATGTTTGCATGCTTTATGTTTTGAAGCAGAGATTGATTGGAAAAAGATTAAATATTAGTGGATTAATACCTGTGCGTAGTAGATGAGAGCGCTGCCCCAGGTACAGAGAATATTAATGCAAATGTGATGTTGTTCGGTGAGGGAACGGTAGAAATGAATTTCTCCTGCAAATCTCGAGAATGAGGATGGTACTAGATGTGGAAAAACGCTACTCATTTCATAAAGAGAAAGTTTTTTGCTTTTTTGAAAAAAGGAATGGAAAAAAAATATTGTTGTCCACAATACAATAATCGTGATTTTTGTAATTAAGTATGGAATTATGTAAGGGTGAAAATAAAATGTAATCAAATAATTGATTTCTTAAATTTAAAAATTCCAAACTCTTTCATAATTTCTCTGAAAATCTGTCAAACTTTGTTCAGTTTTAATAATAATAATTAATAATGATAATAGTGAAACAAGTAGGAATAGGAATTAACCAAGCAAGACTCCTGAATAATCTTCCACTTTTTTCGTATAGACAGGCAGTCGTTTGTCTTTGGTCATTTGCTTTAATTGGACATTAGTTCCTATTCGGTCAATAAAATAAGCATTATTTTCACTGTACATTGTCACATCAAACAATTCATTGTGGGTTAACTGTGCACAAGCATGTCCCAATTCATAAAGAATGAGAGGCAAATTGTTACCACTGGAGATAAGTAGATTATAAAAGCTGGACAGATCATCTGCCTGGAATAAGGTAAGTTCGTTAATAAGGTGACTTGTAGAATGAATACTTGCAGGACATGATAATGTTTTATTACTTGAAATAGTCTGATTAAATGATTTGATAAGTGAAAAAAAAGGAAGGAATCTAATAATGTTAAATACATGGACTTATTTAGTCATAAATTTGGTTGATGGAATATTTCATCTGTAATAAGTATCACACATTGCTTACCATCCATGGTCCATTCATTCCTTTTAAGGTCTCCTTTTTAACTCTCATATTGCGCCTGGAACACCATCGATGAAATACCTCATTGGTCACATTCGGTCCAGTGGCATAATTTTCCAAAAATTTGGGATGTGAATTGAGATATGCGACAATACGTTCCTCTCGCGATTCCATTATAAATAGCTTTTCACTTTGAGATTTATACAATGAGTACTCAAATTTAGGATGGTACGATTAGATTAACAACAATAAAGTAGCTTAGATAGATGTAAGCTTTTTCTAACAGTGAGAATTATTTATTTGGAATATGCAGGCACTTCTGACAACCATAGCAACCGTTGTGTAATTATTTTCTTTCCTACCTTTTTCTTCACATAATTGATATCTCTGATCACATCGAAAGCAGTAGATAAGCCTCAGACCAAATTTAGAGATTATCAATCCTTCATTGGCAAAAGTGCTTTTACAGCTCATTAACAGCCAATGCAAGCATTCTCACAAAATTATTTCAAATAGTGCTTTAAATTATAAACTTTGTTAATTACACTATTAATTATTTCTCTATTACCTTCAAAGGTCAAATCCATCTGAAAACTCATTTTGTTTCAAGATAATACCAAGTTTTAGTTTAAGCACATATACACAAGCATCAAATAGAAATATTGCTTTCAGATAGTACAAAGCTAACTTTTAAATATCAAAATTAGTTGGAAGTAACATTGACATCAATAATAAAAAGTTCCTCAAGTAAATTTATATTTACTACTTGCCTCAAAGAAATTTTGGAGAAAACCAAATGCTCACATTCTTCAACTTGGTTTTTTAACTTATTAGTAGGCATTGAACTAATTCATAGTTAAAGTATGATTACGTTATTTACACACTATCTGACAGCATTGTTTAATATTTTGAAAAAGTTTTATAGATTCGAGCAAAAGCAAAATCATGTAATTTTATTTAAATATAAGTTTCAACTTTTATTTTATGCAAAATTTTAAAAAATTTTAAATATAAGTTCGATACAATGTTCAGAAATGTTCTAATTAGCACTTCTATGTTACTTTGTTTATTCACAAAAATATCACTTTTCATTCCATATCCATCACTTTCAACAACGTCAAATTACAACTATCATCTGACGTATGATGTGATCACTGCATAGCAAAGTGTTTCATTAATTTAGAGCACACAAACTGCACCATTTAACCTATTTCGCAGGTTCCATTATCAACCAACTACTATTTCATTTCTTGTGTATAACAGAAATTGTCAATTTAGTTTTCACAAAAATTTTATAAAATTGTTAAAATGAATGACTCTTTGTTAAATTTCATCTTAATCTGATTATGGGTAAAAAAAAGTTCTATTAATGTAGCACTATCTTAGGGTATAGGCAAATACAAATGTAAAAATACGGCAGAATCCATTAATAAGTATGCGAATTTCCTGTTTGCTTTTTTTGTTTTCATAAAACAAACTGCTAACATCCTTCACATTGCTATTGTTTAATCATTTTGATGCTACTGTTTATCGATTTGTTGACATATAGCTGTCAACTTTGTCGTTAAACATAGACATATCATTGACAGAATTATAACCATTTTCAGTATTACTAAAATGTGCTTATTTTTTCTCCTTTGACTGAGTAACGAGTTGCGATAGGAAACAGTTAGTCTATCCTTTTTACTAAGTTATTTAAAGTCTAACTTTGTTGCTATTGTTATAAAAGCTACTATATTCATGTTAGCATTGTTCTTATTGCTTCAACTTGAGTAGCCATTGATAGTAATTTTTTGCTTCTGTGATATGCCTTACTCAGCTTCTATTCATATGATTACTTATGTAATGTAAGAGTAAATAATCCGAATTTCAATCATTTCAAAACAATATGATACATTCCATGCTCATATTTCCTTTCCAATTAATAAATTAGTTTCAGATTGCTGATGTTTACATTTCTTATACTTTTGACATACATCGTAAATGATATCTTTGGGAAACTCTGTCCACCCATATTTGGCCAGTTTAAATGTCCATTGAACTTCACTTGTGTAATTAATGAATGCTACTCTGACAATAATGTAACAGCACCGCTTGATTGCGAACAAGTGAAATGCGATGCTAATTTCAGGTGCTATAAGGTGACTCATAACTTCTTCGAATTCACTTTTCAAAGTTTTTTTTTTCCAAAAATTGTATAGAGATACTATCTCTACTATGAGGATATGCAAAGTGGGGTTGGTAATTAGTAATGAATTTTGGATGAAATTTCAATCATAAACTTCTCTTATCAAATTAAACATTATCATCTCAAGAGAGTGCTTCTCTCTTTTAAATTATCAGCTATATCGCATAACAGGGGAGATGTTATCCAACAACCGGTCTGCCTTGTGATCGAAATGTGCAGTTATCCGAACATCAGTCCAAATCTATAACTTCTAACTGCGGCCTAAAAGGACGATGCATCAATGGTCGATGTGCTGAAGACAGTTAAGTATTTTGTCGACATAATCATGAAGGCAAAATATTCGAGATCAAAATTTCATTCAGACATTCATAATGATAATGATAGCACATTATCAATCAATCTGTATAAACTTTAATGAGTGAGAATTTTTTTATCAACAAGAAATCCTAAGTCATCTTTTAGCTATTTCTTCTGATCATATGTGATAACACTGATAACAACCACTTCTTCATTTGTTAAATTTAATTGTTTACACTGAATGAGATACTTTTAATATCTTCTACTAAGAGTAAAAAAGTGAATAGCATAGTGTTTAAAGCAAACGAGCATTTAATACAATTCATGTTTAACAGATAATTCTTCCTACTTTAAAATGATACAATTATATGTTAATTTCAGAATGTTTTGGAGCTAACTGTACCAAGGATGAATTATGTGGTGATGGAAAATGTTTGACAGTAAGCAGTACTTTCTGTATAACTCATTTCGACTGTGGTCCTACATTCAAGTGCTATCAGAACAAATGCATACCATTTAAGAGAAATTCAATCTCATGCAACTGTGATCCTGGTGAAGTGTGCCAGAAAGGACGTTGCATCTCAGATCCAAATATGTTTTCATGATATTTAAGCTACAACATAGCTAAATCAAAAGTAATTTAAGATATTAAATTAGTCTACACCTTTTTTTTTTTGACAATTTATTTACGTAGTATCACAAATTAACCATTGTTGTATAGTTTAAAAGGAAAAAAAGCGATTGATCATGAAATAATGGAACTAAGTAATTTTGAAGCTGGAAATGATGAAAAAGACTTCCATACATTTCATTTTTGAATTTGAGAAGAGTTATTCAGTTTTCAGGTTGTGCACATGTAAGCTGTCAACCGGGCTCGTTTTGTTTGCAAGGTACATGTCAATCAGCTATCGGTCAAGATTGCACTTCTACAGCATGCCAAGGAGGTTCGATTACTTACTTCTCTGCTTACTCATTCAAAAATTATATCAAATAGTAAATAATTGACTTAATAATAGTATGTCGCAAAACAGGGCGATATATAGTAGAACAGGTGAAAAGACGAAAAAGATCAGAGTCATTGTGATCGGTCGTAGCTCTTGTAGAAAACATGTAATACTTCAAAATGAATGGAAATAGTATAGAAAATGGGATATTAGTTGTTTCCGTATTTTAATTCAGGATGTGAACTCAGGTATCTGGAATGTTGTGTGAGATCAGTGTATACCACTTGTGAAGCTGAATTTTTTATTGCAGGTACAATTTGTGTAGAGGGACGATGTATTCTGGATCCTTGCACTAATCGTTGTCCACCGGACCATGTTTGTCGAGAAGGTCAATGTAGACATCTTCAAGGGTTGTTATGTTATCGAGAATGTCCTAAACCCTATGTGTGCATCAGTGGGCGCTGCACAAAAAATGGTAATAGTGTATTAGCACGTTTAGACGTCAAAAATTATGCTAACAGCGATGAAGAAAAAAATTTACTAACTAATATTTCAGAATGTTTTGGGAAAATTTGCCAACTTGGTGAAATGTGTCAATCTGGCCTCTGTATCAAAGTGGAAGGACGACTGTGCAGTTTGGCGATACGTGATTGTGCTGAAGAATTTGAGTGCATAGGAAATACTTGTCGTGATTTATTGGTAAAAGCCAATGTTACTTTACCATAACTATGATTTCAATTTGTTAAAGTGTTGGAATATACCAGTTTTGCGGTGAATATATCTATCTATCTATCTATCTATATATAGATAGATAGATATAGATATAGAACGGTTTCACGCACTTTCAAACTTGAACTCTAATCCTTTAGGATTGAAACTTTATGCAATAGATAGATAATACCTAATAAATTCATTACGAGTAAAACACACTATTGCAGAGAAGTTATTACACTTCAATTACTGTCGAAAAGTATTTGATAAACCTGAAAATCGATCTGAGATTTTTGTGACTTTCTCGCAGTATTAGGTGTTATATTTCAAAAATTCTTGCAAATAATTGCAGTCATAAGGACCATCTATAAATGATTCCCAAAGATAGTAGCGTAGCTGGCAAAGTCAGCGATAACTTAACAAACGGATATGCATTACTGGTCACTTTCACGCGATTGATTTGTGAAATTTCTGAAATAGTTCTATCATAATACATGGTCTACACGTAAGCATTCTTAAATAGTAAACTTTTTTTTGGATACTTTTCACATATAACTTTAGTTCAACGAATGTTTGCTTTCCATTGCAGTAAATTATAATCATTGACGTTTGAGAAGTATAATTTCAATTTTTGGAAAATAGAATGATGTGTAACAGACAGACTTCCAAACCTTCTGTTATTTTCTTTATCAGCAATTATCTAATCTTTTTTGTCAATCTTCTCTATCACTCCTTTCATTCAATTCAAAATAACTAGTTTAGTGTAGTATGTTCGGAGTCTAGTAATATGAAAGTTCTGGAATTTGTTGAAATTATCATATTTAATTTAATTTCGACTAACATAGTTTGATCCAAAACTTACGTTCTGTGATGAATTGATAGTGAGCATAAAAGCCGGTGGCATCAAAGATATCATTGGAGCGAAATAACATCCGAAAATAGTTCGATTCACTAACAATTGAGTCTCTTGGACAAATCTGACCGCAATACCGACGATTAGTACGATCCTGAGTTTGGTAGTTGCTGAATAGTACGTAATCGCTGTGCGTACTATCACCGCAGCTGGAAATTCATAGTGTTCGGGATCATATTATTTTCACGAGAAATATGAAAACCAGAATTATAGTAAGCAAAAAACAAATGTTCGAAACTTACGCCGCTAATCCTTCCACGTCAAAATATTCAAAATGTATAACAACGACCTGTTTCTCAGCTCCATGAAATATGTAGTGGCAGTCGATGTTGCGAGGATAATATCCTGGATGATTAGGAGAGAAAATGTCACCTGAGCTGCGCTGAGATGAATTAAACTCATAATGACAAGCTGAAATATAAAAAGTGGGAATCCAACATTACTTCCCACATAATTAAGTGGTATCACATTTTAAGTTATTAAATGAATCATTGAGATTGCTACAATCATCTGTATTCCAGTTGTATTATCTTTTCTCAGCCTGCTTAAATGCATGCTTTTTATCCAAACGAAATAAGTCTGGAAACCTCGGCAAGGCAGTACGTGATATCTGAAATAGCAAACGATATCTAACTATTAAGTCAAGCCAATTCGTTTAATTTATCAGTCAGCCAAGACTCATGTCTCGTTATTAACTAGTCTTTATCCAAGCATTGTCAAGTTAAGCAAAAAGTATGTGAAAAAGTATGCGGCTAGAAATAAATGAAAAGAAAAAGAATTTACTAAGGAAAACAAACTCACTTATATCATTTCTTACTTCAGCATTCATTTCTGATAAGCCTAGATCACATCGAAAGTGATATTTTAATACAAATCCAAAATTTTCACCATTAGTCATCATTCGTCTCATTACTCTGGTAGATCGAACTACATAATCCAAAGTTAATAGATTTTTGGTAGACATCAATCGAGGAGGTGTTTCAGCACCACAGAAGTCTTCGATTCGAGACATGCGGGTACCAATCAGGACATGAGCTGATAAATGATCCATTTCATCGCATCTTTAATCGGTTCAAATAAATTTCACATAATTTTAACATCACTATGAATTCATAATATTCTTTGAAATATGTTTGCACCTATTTCTGTCCTTCTAAGGGTCATTGGATGATGAATGATAACGAAACTAAAGTTTTTAGACTAAAACAACTCTGTAATCCTGGATTTTAGCTTAGTGTTCAACCTTAAGCAATCTACAGTTCATTCGTATATACAAAACAAAATGAAATCTCAATTAGGAGTAGCAATGTTCTTATTGTCACTTACTTACCTGTTGGTATTATTATTCAAATGAGGGATTCGAGAATACAAATTAAAATAGAGAAATGTAATTTGCACTCTTTCGGTGCCACTACCGAGAAATATAAACTGGCATTTGAATGGTTCGTCACCATTTACGTACTGTGTTGAATTGAGAATACCTGAGACACCGGAAAAGGGAGAATCGCTATCAACTACTGAGGATGAAGTGATCCTCACTGTGCAGTGTTCTCCTGAAATAACTCTCTGCTCAGTGATCTGATTGATTTTAACTGATAAAAAATTCAGAAGGTTGTTCGTGATACAATATATATGGAGTGAAAGATTAATATAATTAGTGATGAACTTACCATCACTTCCGAATATTTCCATAAATAATGTAAGGAAAAAGGCAATAAGCCTCTTACGGTCTAATTTCATCGTTTAACACATTAAAGTAACTCTTGTGAAGCCTAAGGACATGCCTGGAAGAACTGGCCTTAAATGGAGAGAAAAGCAATCGATGCGTTTTGAGGAGGATTGAAGGATGAGAGATAAGGAAGAGCATTTAATGGTAACTACTCACTTAAACTAATTTCATCGCCGTGGACATCAGTGATGGCTGAAGAAAATTTAGTAGAAGGATAAGAGGAAAACAATGAAAATGATAAGTAAGCCAAGTCTGAAATATTATCATTGGCCAGCGGAGTGTTGCTTTCATCTGGCATATTCTGTGATAATTGCTGAGATATATACTTGAATGAAATATGAAAACCGCGGGCCTGGAAAGAGTTATTTTATGAGATGTCGAATATCTCTTGATATATTACTTTCTAAATACTTGTACGAATTACACAGCTTTTATTTGTGTTATATTTTTTTTATATACTGCAAATTGTAACAGATGATTTCCTGATGAAAATATGATTGGAAAGTTTTATTCAGACTTTCTATGTTATGCAAAATAAGTAAAGCGAATTTGAATGAGAGCAGGAATAAATTTCATCTGTGAGATGACTAAATTCAATAATTCAGTGGACGAATCATGTCCATAAGCCTTTTTCACTTGTTAAAGTGTTTTTTTTTTTCTCTCTCTTTCTCTTTTGGAAAATGAAGTGTCACTTTTTTTTTAAATTTTATCAATGCACTAAAAATTTCAGTCTTTCTTGCTTTTATCATTATCATTTATTAGCATTTTTTGCTTCTTTCATTGTTTTTTCTCTTTTTTAATAAAGTATTCATTCATCAATTAGAATGTTGAAAACGATTTAATAGTTGCACTGGCATATGATCACTATGATTGATTCAATTATCATAGTAATTTAGCAGAGTATATAGAACACTCACAGTATTAAATTATTTATTTTGAGCACTACTGAATGTATAGTTAAGTAATAAGCATAATTCCAGCTGCTACATATTTCCGGAACCAGTCCAGTATTAGCCAGTTAAATGAAGCATAACTTTTTCTCTCTCTCTCTCTCTCATCCATTCCCGTTTTTTTTTTGTTTTCTCTTTTCTAATCATGTGCACTTTTAATCAACCATCCGACAATAAATCTTTTGCATGATTGGCAACATCAAATATTCTTATCAGTTTTATCATCTTTCCTAACGAACCTCCACTTATCTTTTAATCACTTTTCTTACCGTAAACCTTTACTAGAAGAGCTCTGTGTTTTAGAAATCAGCAAATAATCAATTTCATATAAGTACTTTTTTTTTTCATTTCTATTATGTTGTAAAGTAAAATTTCAAAAATAACAATGACTTTTTAATTAAAAATAAACCTTCACAAATTTCAAGAAATTTAACCACTTATTAATTTCTCTAAATAAATAAAAAGATGGGACAAGTGACAAAGAGCTTTAAGGGTATGTACACATAGTGAACTCACTTTTACTATGTCATTGTTGCCACTGTGAAATTCAATGATATATCCATGCATTGTTTGAATTTGATATGGTGGCATCGAGTCATAACAAAGCTTTTCGAGATGAACCTGAATGCTTCTACTAGCAATAATCTTCTCAAGAATTTTATCATATCTTTGGAAATCCTTAAAAACAACAGTAAAAATGCCTCTCCCTTTTAAATTCCACTTTTTTAAAGCCTTACCAGTGATATATTTCATAAAAATGAATGAAATCTCGCAAAACGAATGAAAGATAGCATAGCTTTTCTTCTTACCTTTGGATGCATTTGATAGATGTCAATGAAGTCTTCATGGCAAGCATAACGTCTTAATTTCAGATATTCTAAAGAAATTATCAAGCTAAATCCTTGACGAGGTGCTAAATAGTACGTGCAATTGGTTGTGGTTGGATAAAAGTATGGATAATTAGGCGAGAATATATTACCAGCTAAACTATCAACACGAAAACGACATGATTCTATTTCAATAGCATTCGAAAGGAATCGTCCTGTAAAATTAGTTAAAGGTAAACTAAATTATAGTAAATAATTGCTTCAAAATTACTTTCTCACTCAATTTTTCTCTCTGTCTACAGCATTTATTAGCAAGAGGAGTAAAATATTAACATAAACAATGGTCACACCTTTAGGAATAAGATTGTAGGTACCATGAAAGCCTCTGGAGGTACCAGATAATTGCACATGAAATATGAGATATCTCGTGTGAGAGTAGAATGTTTGCCCAACTTCGATCTTAAAAAGATGTAGCTATCCGGTACACACCAATAAAGCAATAGGCGCAGTAAGGTATGTCCAAGAAATGTTACCTCTCGAGCACAGAATTCACCGTTGTGAGCGGTCTTTTCATCGATCAGTCCATTCGATATATCATCAAATAACCTTAAATAATCATTGCATCTAAATTGCTGCTGTGTAAAAATCAGTTCTTTGTCAATCACTTACCGGTCAGTTCGGGGTGAGAGGTGAAAGTAGTCAAAGGTTACTTCAATAATGTATCCATCCGGAGCTGTAAATTTATATAGCAAACATAAAAGTGGATGCTGAAGAAGCACTGATGATGGAGCTAATACCGATGATAATGGATATTTCGGGAAGTCTGGTGACTGGAAAATGCCAGTCGAGTTAAACTGGATACAACGACAGCTAGCCATTGAGGTGTTTGTTAAACGTGGTAGAAATGAGAGATACAGATATGGTATCAAGAAAGAAATACGGTAGACGGCAAGTCTTCCGGATGATAGAATACATGTCACACCAGTATTAGACAAATATTCAGTGAGGTAGTTAGTGTAAAATTGTATGATTGGTATGAATTGGTACAAAATTTCATCTTTCATAATTGCAAAATAAATGATAACACTGAGATTTCATATTATAAATCCAATAAATAACTAGAAAAGGTCACACTTCAGTTCTTATTGTCCCAGTGGTACTATTTATGTTAAAATAAAATTACCAAACGTCCTTTTCTCCTTTCCTACTCAAATATCTCTGAACGTGGGTCACAGTTAATACACAGAATAGACAATCGAAGATGCATAATGAACAGAGGTAAGGCCCAAATGCTCACTGATTCCAAAACTGAAGCGCAAGCTGGTAGGTCCACTTAGTCCTCTGAAGCTGCGTCTGTCTGTGTATTTGTGTATGTGTGCTGTCCACATCGTTTCACAACTACAACTGTTCATACATTTACCTTCATGTGATACGGCATGGCTTCAAGCATATATGTGAATGTGTATATATATATGTGTGTATGTGTATGTGTGTATTCGTGTATGCATGTGTGTGTGTGTGTGTATGTGTGTATGTGTGTGTGTGTGTGTGTGTGTGTGTGTGTGTGTGTGTGTGTGTGTGTGTGTGTGTGTGTGTGTGTGTGTGTGTGTGTGTGTGTGTGTGTGTGTGTGTGTGTGTGTGTGTGTGTGTGTGTGTGTGTGTGTGTGTGTGATAAAATAAAGGCAATGCAATTTGAAAATAGGATGGGCCTGAGAAGAAAAGCGTCTGTTTGTGGTAAGGAATTCCAACTATGAAACCAGCTGGCAGTATATTTCTTTTAATTCCTAATTAGCTCTGTGCTATGTATTAGTTTCGCTAGGCCTTTATTGATGAAGATTAAACAAACGAAGAAGAAAAATAGAAAAGTTAGTCTAATTCCTCGAGATTAATGTCCTTAGGAAACTATTCCTCGAGACTAATGTCCTTGTCACAACAGTTACTAATTAAGGAGAAGCAGATTGTAATTTCTCATAGATGTGGAATTGTAGAAAGTTCCACTAATTTCTTTATCTTCTTCATGTCATCAATTTGTTCATCTGCTTCAAAAATTTAATAATTGTCCATTTATTTATATTGGATAATATTTAACCCATTATATTTAATTTTTTTTTTTTTTAGATTTAAAAACTGTTCTGTTCAATTTCTTTATTTAAACAATCAACTTTAAGATGTATCCCTGCTAAAGATGAGTATTTAGCTTGATCGGATTAACTGATTTTTGTTACAATCAATTAAAAAGACACAGCGGTTTAATATCAGGTTAGATTAGGTGAAAAGTTAAAGTTGAAGATTTGACATTAATTATAAAATCAATTCCCGAGTAACTCATTAACTTGTAGATGGTAAAACTAATTTTTGTTAATTTTTAATGTAATATAAAAAGAACTGCTTACTATGATTTTAAAGAATGTCCCATCAATGTTCTACTGAGCTAATGGATAAATGAATGACAGTGGATTGCCATTTCTACAAGACTAATGTCACCGAATCAGAATTCATCAGGAGGCGAGGGAAAGCATGGATGAAAATATAATATATAGAAATTTATTGCCATTACTTTTATTTATATCCTTAATGAATTGCTTATTCTGTTTCCTCTCCAAAATTGCTCCAAATCGGATGAAAGCAATTGAGAATCCTTAAAGACTCAGTTTATTCAAATCCGGTAAGGGATAAACAAACCGCCTTCCTCTTGCAAATTAACGATCGGAAAATTTAACTTTGAATTGCTTAAGTTTATACAGCTCCTTTAATCTCATCCCATCCATGGCACTTGTAGCAACTTATCACACGTACGTGAAGTAGACCGTAGGAAACAGTCACGTCTTCTTAATATGTACTTAGATTAGTAACCTTCACCTAAGTTAATGACAGAAGAATAAAAACTAATTTAGATGATTGATTTATATCTGTCCGATCGATTCCATCAATAATAGCCATGCAAGCATGAAATGCACGTGATGAACATGCCATACCGCTTTTGATTTTTTTGGGAAATCCTGTTTCGAAATGGCGGTATTCATCGACACTGGCTATTCTGTCTACTCTAATGAGCTAATCAGTATCAATCAATAACTTATTTGTTGTGCACTGGATAAAGTGATAATAGAATATTCCATATCATTACTTATCTTCACTTAGAAAGAAAAATAAATGTTTGCAAAAAATTAGGATAAGTGAATAATGACGTGCGTGGGTTATGTCAAACTGAAACTCCATTTATCGCTTGGAGAAAAGTAAACTCTTTTTTCTGCTATGCAACTTTTTTAGAATGCAAGGAAATTAAAAAGAATTAAGGACAGAAGGAAGAAGAGGAGAAGGAGGAGTGGGTGGACTAGTGATGCGGAGAAATGACGTATTTTTAAGTAGCTTGACCGTGTCCTGCCAGTGCGTAAGGTTTTTTAGGTGCATTTCATAACGTCATGCTACCTGCACCCATCTCTGAATGTGCGTCTGTGTATGTATGTATGTATTGGTGTGTAGATGGCTTTTATGCTTACAAAATTTCAAAGCTCCCATATGTTACCTATTACAGGTGTGCAAAAAAAAACCTGAGAGGGTGGAGAGAGATGGAATTTCATTGGATGGAATGAGTAAGGCTGTCAGTAAGGTCTTATAAGGACGGAAGAAGCAGGCAAGCTCACTTTCTGAGGCCATCTTTCCATATCAACGCAGCAGCAAATGTCTCCCCCATATGACGTGATGTTGCCGTGCTAAAAACAACGCCCAAATGCGCCTTTGGGATTAGAATTATACCTTCCTTGATGAAATGTGGTCGTGTTGTCGTGCTTTAAATGATATGCCTCTTGCTAAACTTACCTCCACTTTTGAGAATTTAATCTTACAAATATATGGAATGAGTATAATCCTTTTAAAAACAAATGCAAAAAGGTATGCGTATGCTTTTGGAAGATGCTTATTACAGCTAATGTGCAATTCTAATATTCTTGCAGAATACTTCAGCACTCATCTAACACCTCGAGACCAGTAATCATCCATGACTCTCATGTGTCATACAATTTCCCTGAATTTACCTTTTTTGCAAGGTTGTTTCTTTCTATATTCTTTTCGGTAAGGTCAAGATCGATTAGAGAGAGAGAGGCAGAGATGGAGAGAGAAAGAGAGGGAGGGCGAAGGAGAAAAGTAGTGCAGATGGTACCGACGGTAAATGACCATCACTATGATTGAGGTCAAAGCATACAGAAGAAATGAGCGCCGCAGAAGGATAAGTGACGCACCGCGTCGCACTTCTCCTGCCCTCGTCTCTGTGCTCAAAGGGACAGTAAAGTGAAATGCAAGATGCAAATTCGAGAAGTCAATTCTCCCACTACTAGAAAGACAAACAAGCTAGCATCCTCAGGAGGACATCACGGGAGATACCGGACATGATAAAGTGCGGGAATGCAGGATGAGAATCATATAAAGTGCTACCAGCAACTGCATAGATAATGATTAATTCTTGCCCTCTCATTTATTTGCCAAAGTCTTCCCTTTCTCTTACCAGTGAGTTCATCGCCTCTTTCATCTTTTCCGCTCTCCTAACAGCACGAAGAGAAGAAATACTTTGGTCATCCGATCACCACCATCTCCCACAACTACTCGACGACAACAGCAAATTTACAAATGTCATCCATCCCCTGTCGCCTTCCTCCCTTATTCCAGTCGGCATTCATTCCGTCTTTCATAACAACATCAAAACATACAGATGAGAGGAGGGAGTGCGTATAGAGTGAAATAATAGACAGAGAGGAGAGGTGTATGAGGTGGCACGCAGCAAGCATCTCTCGCAGGCATCCTTGCGACGCTCGCTGCCCATATCAGGTGGTCTCATCTGGTTCTGTCGTTGTCGTTGTCGTAGCCGATGTCCCTTATGTAAGCTGATGAGTTGTCTGTTTTGCTCTTCCTTGCTCTTGCTCTTCCTATTTCATTATTGCATATTATTATTATAATATATATTTATACCCCTTGAAGCACTGTCCAAACTCTCCGTCCTCCCTCCCAATGTCATCGTCTTCTCTCTCTTCATAAGACAGATAATTTCTCCTGGACAAGGGCGGCGATGTCATTTGATTTATGTATGACCTCGGGCGAATGTACCTCATCCACGAGACTTCTCTTGCGTTGTTTAACACTCCCGCGATCACTGCTGCTTGGCAGTCTGAGGGGTTAAAGGTCAGATGTATCATGCTGTAACGTATGTTATATATGCTTGTGTACATACGTATGCGCATAGTATCTGTGGCATATGTATATACTGTTTGGGTTATGGTGACTGGATTACTGCTCTCTATGCCGGTGCGGGCTTATGCAAGTGCATGCAGGTGTATGCAAGCATGTGCGTGTCGTGCATATATACACGTCAGCATACGTGAGTGAGCGTGAGTGTATGGCTCGTATGCGCGTGTCCGCTGTGTGATGTATAGCCTTTTTCCCCTACGCATCCCTTTCGGTGTGGTATTGCAAGCAGATCATATTATCGGTAGTTCCTCAAAGGAGACGGAGGAATGGGCATGGATGATAATGATTCGATCAGTGATATGTTGTCAGCTGACTCGTTTATCTTCCTACTCTCGATATTGCATTGCGCGTTTGCGGTACGTGCATTTCCCGTGAATCCCAAGCATATCTTATCAAATAATAATTTGTCATCACTAAATCGTGTAATTCTCGCGCTCTTCCAGGTTCAAAATATGTTTGAGCGCACATATTCCTCCCCAACTTTGTCCACCCAGAGTTGCACAAACCATATGCATGCATGTGTATCTCTTCCTTCCCATGTGGTACTATCATTTCTTTATTCATGGAAGTACGACAATTAAAAGGATGAAAGGCCTGAATGACCTTTTATCAGTGATATCAATAATAATTTGGAGTGGACCGGATAGCTTCACATGCATCTGATGAATGGAGAACTGCGTACTTTAGCCATCTAGTGAGCTAGAAAGAGATGTTTGACCTGTGATCCCATTTACAAAACAATGTCTAGTGGGCATTACAGGAGTTAACGGACCTAGTTAGTGCTTTCCCTCTCTCTCTCTCTCCCTCTCATTATTGACCTCTTTAAGTGCAGCTTTAAAGAGATGTGGATGCTAGCCTTTTTCTGTTTTGAACGGATCCATCCACATCTGCATAAACCATATGCATGCATCTGTATTTCTTCCCTTCCATTATTCTGTAAATGAGCAGGCATAATAATTTGCATATCAGAGCATTGTATGTAAATGTGCATGATTAATGGCAAATTGAGTTTTACTTCTTGAAGTAAGTAATAGCAAGGTTGGATTAGGTTGCAGCAATTTTTTAATCATAATGCGTTATCCTAATGTGACGTCATAGTTGTGACAGTGAATCAGTGGCGATATATATTTGCAGGATGGTACAGTTGTTGTTCCATTGCTCATTATCGTTGGTATCATTGACAGTATCATCATTATCAGAATCGTTTCCTGCTCCTTCCACAGCTTTTTTCCATTGCACACTAAAGTCGTCTAACTATTGCTTAACGAACAGTAACAACACCAACAGCAATTTTACTATTATCTCTTCAACAACCATCAGTTGCAATAATTAGTCAGCAACATGTCAACTATGCCATGAAGAATGGCTGTCATCAATGAGCAAGGAGAACCGGGCGCATTCTTCATGTGCACCGAAACATCGCCTCGTTGCTATATCATCCAAAGGGTTTGACATTCCGTTATATGTTTATTGTCCTTTCATCAAATATGCATTTCTAGAGATATGACTCTGTGTCTCTTTAGTATTAGATTTGGGTATATTATCCATTATCCATGTTATACTTTTCGTTCACCTGGAACTGTTGCGATGTAATTATGGAATTATTTTAGACAAGAATATACATGTAAGATCATGATACTCCATTCATATTTCCTAAAATTACTGCAATCAGCTGCAACATGAAACCTTCATTTTCTTTTTTTTTTTTTACTATCGTAAGTCAGAAAAAATAAAAAATGTAAATGAAATAGGAAAGAAAAACCTTTATCTATATTTTATTTAGATAAAAAGTTTGATGACCATAGTAGTTATGAGTTATGAGTCATTTAACAAAATTAGCAAAGTCAAATCACCTTTAATACCCTTAGTTCCTAATTTATGGATATAGATGTTAAGAATGATACCATTACGCTAGATAGGACTCCAGATATGAGCTGAAATTAGTCAGTGATATTAAAATGTGACTACTTTTTTATCTTTAGCTTTTTTTGGATTTTGTTGACAGTTTTTCCTGTATCTCCATTTCTTGCCTTATACACCGTTTTGCAGATGTAATATCTTTTTCTTTAAGATTTGAATTTAATTTTGGTCATTTCTTACGCATATTCGAATTTGTGTAGGCTTCTTATTTTTCGGAATTAAAAGTAGCGTAGTGATTTAAGATGAGTTCGAATCCTCTCCAGTGCCGGCTTGTGAAAACTACGAAAAGTATGTTCTTTCATTTGATCGTTAGGATAATATTACATTCTCATTGTTATTGTTTAACCGGATATTAAAGACTTGTTTTATTTTACTTTACTCTTTAAGATGTGATAACAAGTAGTTTATATTCTATTATCAACTGGGAAGTAGAGAGTAGAAGTTGAGTTCCATTAAATCTACTATGACAATAATAATTCTCTCGAAACAAAAGTTTTACTGAAGTTTATGGTATTTTAGAAGGATATCTAAATCTCTGGTGAACAGGTATTAAGAAAGCATAACTACACTTATTAAATGTTTTAGATATTTCTTGAATTGTTGTGAGAACAGTTTTGCAATTGTCAGTTGAAAAGTTACTCTGTACCTTCAAAGGTGCAAATTAGCCAACTTTCAGTAAGGTAGCTTCCCATCTCATTTTATAATAGAGATTAAAATAGTAATATAAGGTTTGTTAGTGAGCAGTTCATCTTCTCTAAGTTCCACTCGATGTTGTTAAAATAGAGAGTGTGATTTGTATTGAAATGATTTGTATTGAAATATCTTTAACATGTCAATTTTACTGAAGTATTTCTGTAGGTTGAGTGATACGATTATGGTTTTACATGATTGGTTATAATTTTAGGTGAATTCTAGTAGTATTGACCGGATGTTAGATGATATGATGGTGCCATCTGGTGAGTGCGACACACCTCCTACGCCAATGTTACCGTGGTGGTTTACAGCAGAGTGTGAGAATCAACTCTTAGCTGCATCGGATCCGCCTGTTATTCAGATGCCGACCAGCATGTCTACAACTCTTTCTGTGCCACCACCACCACCACCACCACCACCGCCACCACCTCCACCATCAGTAGCAGTAGTAACTCCATCGGCTCAGCGAGTAATTTCTACCGCCGTATCTCAGTCTCCAGAACAAATAAAGCAGCAACTCAAAGCTCAGCTAGAATATTATTTTTCAAGGTAAGTTGTTTACCATTATAAGATCAGAGGAACGGTTAATAAATCACTTAGATTACTTCATAAATGCGTCAAAGTCATTATGAAAAATTCTCCTGCTCGAGATTCCATTTTCAGAGAAAATCTAATGACTGATAGATTTCTACGGTGTCAGATGGACAACGATCAGTACGTACCTATACGAATCATTGCTGGCTTTCCAAAAGTCAAACGACTCACCAGTGATTACAATCTGGTTGTGAAAGTGCTACGAGGTTTCTTTGTGATCATCGATACTGTCGTGTTCGGGTCGATGCCCTTTATAATGATACTGAAATATGGTTTCTAGCAGGATTCTATTATATCTCTTATGCATGAGAATTAATGAAAATTAATATTTAAAAAGCACCTCTTCCTTTTTTTTTTTTTTTTCATGTGCCATCTTAGTGAGTAGTTCTGCTAAGTCACTGAAACATAATTAGTTACAAGTAGCCACTAAATACTCATTCGGATTATGTTATATTAATTGTTTGCAGAATCATCTCAGGTGCAAGTCGACGAAAAAGGACAACGGGTACGAGCCGTTTCAAAGCGATGCACTATTATCTTGCGTGAAATACCTGAATCTACCGATGAGAAGGTAATTATGTTTTTTTTAATACACAATCTATCTGTTGCTGTACGTTAGGCAACTACACCAATTTGGTTGACATTTTGTTCTTTCTACGATAAGTTATTGACTTGTGCTCTGTGATCTCCCGATATTCTTTTCTTTTAAATTCAATATTTTTAGTTTCCATTTTATAAGCAAAATTGTTTTACCATTTTCGGTGCTCTGTGTTATGGGAATATGAAATAGTGATAGTAATGGCAGATTATAATACAAAATCGGTCTTTTATCCAGTGTTTAAACCCGATAAATTGCTATAAAATCAAAGAAAAATATACAAAAGGAATTCTGATGGTTTTTCTCAAAATCAGTGGAAGGCAAAAGGGTGTACTGAAAGTCATAACGCTGTAAGCACTTCAGGAGGTAGCATCAATGTTCGCTGGTGGACCACCATATTTAAGCCTGCAATATGGCCTGAATAATAGCTGGTATGTAACGTTCGAATCGGAAGAAGCTACGGAGCGTGCATTCTTGCATTTGCAAAATCTAGGCAAAACTTTCAACAACAAACCGATCTGTGTAAGTATGTCACAGTTCTTGTTTTGATGGCAACTTTTATTTAAAAATTTTATGCCTCTTAGGTTCTTTGGCTGTTCCTCCATGTTCTGTAGCAGAATACTAACAAACAGATTTGTAGAATATTATAGTTTAAATGTAAATGGTATTAAGGTGATGCATATGTCGGTGTGTTCTTGAAAGTGATATTTTGTTTTATAAATCAGAGAGCTCCGAAATTTAAAGTAATCCCGAAATGTAAGTAGTGGAAAAAATCCATCAAAAGATAACAGGCTTACTGTTTCATTGAATCGTAATGTGTACACTTCTGCGTGATTTCATGATTATGTTATAATCTATCACATTCATATATACTGTTTGATATATATCATACAGCATCTGTTTTGGAAGAATTAAAATAATAAGTTGATGAATAAATTAATAATTCATTAGGATTTTAATTCCGAAGTAGTTTATAACCATTAGTTACCTGATTAGATCATGCTTCATTAGTTTTAGGCACGAATAAAAACAGGTGGTGCACCATATTCAGAACCATTGAATCTGATTCCGGATCGGTCTCCGTCTGCTGTGCCGTCGGAAATTTCAGGCGACGCTACTGTATCCGTTCCCATCGTGCCTGCTCCTTCACCATGTTCATCTGGTATTTGTCGATGTTTTCTATTTATTTTTTAAACTTCATTTCCTGTACGATGGAAATAAAGTTAACTAGCTCTTTATTGTTACAGACACGTTCGATTTGGGTCAAATCCTGGCCAGTTACGGGTACGTACCATGTGCAACTTTCAAGCCTGGTACGACGGTTGTTCATATCACCTCTACTGTCGGTGCAACTGCTAACAGAAATGCCAACCACCATCGATTGAGAGGTGCTTGCTCTGCCGGACTGAATAATTCGAATTTTCGAGGTTTGTTCTGTTTCCCATTACTGATTTCTGTCGATGTTTTGAGTATTTTTTCGATATACAGTTTTATGATTAATCATATCTACCATATGTATATTTTTAGGTTCCAATTCCAGAGCACGAGGTGCTTTCGTATATAATCAGCGAGTCTGCACCAGCGATCATCGTGATTTCAGTAATTACCAGCACGGAGGAGGCCGACGGAGCAAAAACCATGGTGACACTCATCGTGATGGTTATCGGGATAGAAACAACGATTCTCTAACTTTTGTTCGTCCTAGAGGCCGACAGAATCGACTTAATTTTTATTCTGGTCAGTTTCTCATTTCTTGCTTACTTATTTATGGTTTTATTGTAAAACTATCATGGGAGTGTATTTGATTATTGTAGGTACTGTGCGAAGTGGGACACCAGTTGAATCACAAAAGACTAATCAAAGCGATAATATACAACGCCGCTACGACTACGATCAATCAAGCGGCCGGTAACGCTTTGCATATTAGGTGGTATCACTTTGAAGAATTATTGGAAAGATACTTCAAGGATTTTCATTCTTGGATAAGGTTCTTAATCACCAATGATGTTGCATTGTTTGGTGTTCGTATTTGTCGCCTTATTTTGAACTGTTTGTTTTTAGGAGTGTGCAGACACGGCAACAACGGCGTAAACAGAGAGATATGCCATTGCCTGGAATTTCATCGGGAAATAATAAAAGTGTAATATGTCCTCCAATAATATGCCTACCGCCAGAAGGAGGCAAGAAAAGTGACGAGCAGCAGTGTTGTTCAAAAACAGCTAGCGATGATGATTCCAAAATAGAAAGAAGCAGTTCTCGTAAAACTGTCGATACGGAATATAGCTTTGAAGAGGTTACATCATTTATTGAGGTAATAGAGCAGTATGGAGCAGCGTCACTAGCGCAGCATTACTATAGTTGGTTAAATTTTTTGTCCACAGTGCACCATATAAACAAATGACATTAAGCGCTTCAGGGTGCGTTTCCTTGTCTTTCTGAAGAAGTATCTCCGGTAGCGGATGTGAAAGAATCAAAATCGCGGAGTAAACCATCATTCAGTTCGGTAGCTGCCGGTAGGAGAGAAGAAAGGAAGGAAGCGAAAGAAAGAAAAAGTTATGCACAGACGCTGAAGCAAAATAATGGGTAGGTCAGATCTTTCCTTTTCAGATATACATCAGGTCATAAGATAAAGTCCCGAAAGCCCCGAAAGAAAGTGGAGCATTCTCTGATTTAAAGGTTACGTAATAAACTGGAAACAGCAGAGTAGTTTTATTGAAGTACGTTTCTTCTGGATCGCATCCTATTGTTATACATTCCCTACCTGAGAGACAAAAGATACAATATGATAGAGCCCTTTATTCATGCTTTCCTTCTACTCCATATAAAATGCTTTTCCCGAACTTCTTATTTTTTATAAATAAATTTTCAGATTGCTACAATCATCTTGAACATTCCTGTGTTGGTACATTCTGTGTACTAGCAATGCTCTCATCTTTTGCAGAGAGAGTCGTTTCACTCATTTTTATTACATTTTTTCATCCAGTCTTTCTGGGAGATCGGTTTTTCCGGGGTAAAAATGGCAATTTCTTGTAGCGAACATAATTTTTATGTGTTGCAATTACTGCTCGCCTCCTTTACGGTGAACTTGGACATTTTTGACTCATCCGCTGGAGTTCTTAGCGTCTTTCATCAGCAGAAGTGAACTCCTTTTTCGCAAAATGAGGAATTTTTAGAGGTTAACATGGGGAAGTATGCGTTATTCAATACTTCGAAGTACTTGATTCTGTGACAAATGGTTTGGATTAGCCAGTAACAAGGAGGCGTGTAGTGAGCTTTGAAACTGATGTTATTCAAATTTTAAGTGAAGATACAAGTAAGCAATAGATCAGAATTGTCCTCAGCGTTTCTATAGTTTTCAACTGCTGACGTTTTACGCTGTTATAGGATACAAGCGATGTAGTTGTTCGCTTTTATTAAGGTGTGAAATACTAACAAGGGGAAACATCAACATCAGTAAATGAGGTAGTTAAATCTGCAGTTATTGCCAGAAAGTTGCTTTCTTTTTTTAATGCGCGCTATTTTTACTACATCTCTAAGTCATTTAGGTTATTTTGATTGGAATGAAGATTTGGAAACTGGAAATCTTATATACTCGTATCTGACCAGGGAAATAGAGGTGCGAAGTAGGATCATCTTCCATCTCTTTGTTGTGACTTAAGTACTCTTATTATATTTGTATTTATTGTATAATGTATTACTGTTTGTTTATGTACGCATAAAATTGACAGTTACCTTTAGCGAAGATGTAATGATTTCTATTATATGCTGATAATTATCTGAATAGCTAGCTATCTCTCCTTGTATATATTATTTCATACGCGGTCAAAACTTTCAATGTGATTGATAATTTTTTTATGTTACCGTCTCATGTAGTCTAGTATCGATCATACATGTGATGATTTTTTGCGTTTTGTTTCACAACCATATTTGGCAAGATCGGGATACTTTTTACTTCTTTTCTATGATCTTTGCTTCTTGTTTCATCTCTATTCTTTTTACTTATACTTTTCTTTATCCGAAATATTAGCGGCTAAAAGAAAGAGTTTTTGGTTTTTCTTTGTGTTATATGACGATGAGTAACTAGGACACTTTGGGTAAGAGGGACTTTCTTGAGGAAGTATGGACCATATTGCTTCAAGAATAACCAAATTGTGGTAATGATGCCGGGAATTCGAAGATTGAAGATGAAGTATTTTTATGATTCTGGAAGACATTAGAGCAATACAAAGATGTCTGACTTGATCCATTTCGAGAGCCATAGTATTTCTTATTACAACATGTAGTTTGGACTGGGAAGAATTTTTACATTGCGATCCAACCGCTTATTTATCGTTTCAGTCAACGTAGTTAGGTAGTTATTTAGTGATTCATCAGTGAGGGATAAAACGGGGTCAGAGTTTATGAGCACATTACATCACGTTCTGCTAGCAATCTCACACAGCAGACGTGGATATGTGTTCCCTGCAACATTTTATATACATCTGTGGATTATATTGTGTGTTTCCAGATTGCTGACTTTGCTTCCATTTGTGCTTCTTAGAGGTTGGCTTTCAATGCTTCTTGTCAGTTTTTTCGAAAACTTAATGACCACTAAAAAAAAAATCAAGAGGAGATCGATGGACTGAACAAAAAATCGCGAAATTATCTGAAAACTAGAATTGGGGACCCGCTATCACACAAAACTCATATTTAAAATACTGTAAATCTAATTTCTTTGGCGACAACTTATTTTCCCACAAAAGTTCCAGTTTTAAGTACTTCCAGTTTGTCTTAAAGTTGAACTTCTTAGTGTCTAAACTGGATACACGTTTGTATTTCCCATCTTCGCAAAGAAATCCCTTTCTCCAAGCTTTCCACCTTTCTGCTCCAAGCATAAGCTAATGTGGTCAACTCTAAATGACGTATAATTTATTGTGTTCGATAAAAGTACAAAGTATCATTTGCATTTGAGGAAATGATATCCTAAAATAGCTGACAGGAAGTTTCAAACTGCAATCTGCCTTCCTACTATAAACCTTTAATTCTGTCATTACGGAGATTTAACAACGCCCCAACAGCATGTCGGTTAAATGTAAACAAAATTAGCTGTTCCCGACGTGCTGTCCACAATAGTGCTAAATGCGTAAAATATCAAACTACCAAAAGGAAATATCAGTGGTTAGAAATATAATACAAATCAAAGCTTCCCGCAAGTGAGAATTACTGCAATCAGACCTGTCAAAGTTCACTTCTGATTACCCTACAACAGGTAAAACTCGACCTTTCAAAGGTAAATACAATCGGGTTTTCCCCTGAGATTCCTGTGTAATGCGATGCATGGAGTTGTCGGCCATGTCATAAAGGTAGGGCTTCGACCGTCGATAACGCATTACTAGTCTGAAATGCAATACAGGGGCGGAAAGATGAGAATTGTACATAAATAACGTAAGAATAGCATTAAAATCGTAATTGTAAACATAACCACAATAATCATAATAATGATAGTAATAATAAATAATGTAATAATAATAGATAATAATAACAACAAGAACAATGAATTCATATGCAATAGGAACCCTGTTTTTATAGCGGAGAAAAAAGCCACTGCCATTTCCGTCGTGAAATACCACTATAACTGCTTTCCGTTATTGCTCATTAGAACTGGATATCATGCAAAATAACTGTGTCCTACCGATTAAAATATGTTTTGATTTGTTTTATAAATAGTAAAGGACTATGAAACAACGAAATTATCTATATTTGTCAAATTGACATGAAGCACATTCTTCCTCCGAAATAGGCTTACATGGCCCCCATATAATCCTATTAGAATGCTAAACGAAGATCATATGGACATGCTAAGTCTCACGACAAAAGGCGGTACTAACTATACACAATACGTTATTAGAAAATAAAGAGCAATTAGCGCACTGAATGATGATTGCATCAGAAAAAAGTTTAAGGCAAACTTTGAAGACCGTGTACCAACGACGATTAGAACGAGGAAAAGCGTATAACTAAGGCTAACAACAAAGCAACAGCATTCTTTTCAACTCTCAAATGTTTCTGGTCGCTCCAACGCTAATATTGGTTATTTCATCCTGTTGTTTCACTTATATTCCTTCGTGTCGTTCATTATGGATTAGAAAACGTGTATGTCCGATCTTCATCACGTAACAATCTGACCTATTTCGTTTCGCGACGCTTTTGCGATGTGAAGGTATAGCGCTACAAAGAGCGAATGACTATTCAGTAAGAGTGTGGTTTATCTTGCAAAGGAAATTTTTTAGATCCCGAACTAACGAAAAATAGATGCCGACAGCCTAGAGTGGTAAATATACAAAAAGGGGCTACTGGCAAATAAGAGGAGTGGTCTGCTGCTCCTTCGGTACCTGATTTAACATTGACCGAGATCTTTCAGCAGCAGCAGCAGCAGCAGTAGCATCCATATCATTCTCTGAATCAGTATCACGACCGCTCAATGCACCACCCGCAGCTGGTCCAGACAGTGAAGACGGAGTACCAGGGGTTCCTGGTGTCGTCGAGGAAACCACTCCGACTGGTGAAGATGCCTAAATATGTACGCGAAAACAAATGGGCATAGCTTAATGGTGGCAGCCTAACTTTCCCGATGGCACCCCCTACTAATTCGGAATTCTTCCCTCTTCTGTCCTTTGGAGGATTTTATTACAATTTCAATGGAAAAAAAGCAAATGCATATTACTGACAGCCTTCGATATACCAGCTTACCATTTCTACTACTATCGTGAAAAAAACACAAAGAGTGAATATCTAGGCTCCAAAATTATCCTTCATCTTTTCACTAATAATTAATAATAATATACGAATAAAAGTAATGCTAAGAAAGAAACAATAACAAACACTTTAGAATATGTGTTTCCATCTGCATATTAAAATAAATATACTTATGGCATCCGCAAATTCATTTCATCCACACCCAACTAATCTACAACACAAGAGCATCAAAAATGAATGAAGAGTTAAAGATCAGCTTACCTCGCGATACCAAAGACATCTTTTTTTCCTTTTACAGTGTTTACACCACTGATCTTGATTTACAACACCAAATCGAGCACGGCATTTCTTTTGTTCACCATTATCTGTAAATTATTATCAATATAATGAATAAATTTGATTACAAGTATCTGCAGAATGATGCGTCCATAAGATCTATCACGTTGTAATGTAATCTCACCCACCAGCAGATTTATCGCGTTTCCGTTTTTTCTTCTTATTGATTGCATAATTTTCACGAGCCGACCATCCAGGATATTTCTGCATATGTTGCTCACGATCTGTTTTAGCAAGCTCATAATACCTTTGCTGTTCTTCTTTTGGTAAATCATGCCATCTCCTTCCGAGTTCCTATAGCATTTTCAAATACTTTCAAAAAAAAAAAAAAAAAATGCAAATGCTTGGATTTTGCTTTATATCACAAAAAGTATTCAGAATAAACTGGGTAACCTTGTTCAATTCGGCACTTTGTCTTTCTTTATAGTCTAGTTCTTCCATCAGTTTCGGCCTATTTTCCTTCATAAACCACATAAATGCATTCAAAGGTTTCTTAATGTGCTGTTCCTATAAATCAGAATTTATAGACTGTTAGAAGCAAATTAAAAGTCTTAGCGCGTGATTTTCCATAATTGCTATAAAACCAAAAGCAAAATGAACGAGCGTCACCTGGCTTGTCAATATCGCATGAAGAGCGAGTATGAATGTGAAATGAAGGAATTAGTTATGAAAAGACTGAGAACAAGTTGAAATAATACCTACCTTAACTTTGGGCGGCTTGATTTCGCTCTTCGTAATCTTGCTGTTGTTAGCACTGCCACGTGAATTGTTGCTCGGCTGCTGGGCTAAGTTACTGGCCATGGAGGTGATCGGTGAACCCATCTGAGGTAATCGCATTTGGTTTATTGAATTCAGTGGATGCGGAGATGTTGCGGCCGCTGCAGCCGCATTCTGCATACTGCGCATCATTGTAGCTGCCGCCAACGGATTACCCTTGGGGGTAGCCGCACCCACTCCACTACCCTTCAATAGACTCATGCCAATATGGCAATATGTTTTCTATTTCACATCTCCTCCGGAACACCTTCGCCCAACTATTAAGACCTTAGTAACAACTCTACTAAACTCCCTAACATATCCAGTTCATTGAACCCGTAACTGCGAAAGGATTGAAAAGTACTAAAAAATGTTAACTATGGAAAAGAAAATACAAAAACCTGGAAGAGGGAGCTCGGAGAAGCAGGTCCAAAAGGGAAATTTCTATACATTTCGAAGGTTGGTGACATAGTTTGTGCCGCCTGCTGCATAACGAATGCTGCATAAGTTGGCGACATTGAACGTGCATCCATCGGTCCACTCGGCATCCTACCGAAAGGCAAACCATAAGGAGCCTGGTTCTAAAATTCAGCAATCTGTTTCCAAATTAATAATGACTATTTTTAAGTTAAATTAGCAATTATGAGGTTCAACACGTAGTACATTTCCTTCTATCCCTGAAACTATGTGATACCTATTAATATCAAATCATTGGCTACTGAGAAGTCATATATGAAAATTTACACTTTATCTCAATAATGTCCATTCTTTCCTGTCCACTAATCCTCAATCTCAAGATATTGAGACTTAAATCAATGTAATTTAAATGATCATGAGCAAGTACGAATGAAAAACCAACTGCATTGCTCAGCTATGACCAATTGTATAATTTGATATTTACTGTTCCGCAACTTCGAATCCTTTGGATTGAAGAAATGCTTTCCTTTATAAATCAGATTAATAAATTTAATTGTTTATTTATCTGTGCTTGTCTTAGATGTCTCTTCTTTTTTTATTTAGTAACCTATTATTTCCTATCCTAAGTTTGAATAATTTTACCACTAAATTTGTAATGTATACTACTTTTATATATTTAATATGGATGCATTAATACTGATGTAAATGCTGAAATTTTTAACTGTATTTTAAGCAAAATCTTGAACAAAAACAAAAGGTTCTGGAAGAATCATAACAATATTCCTCAAGCAAATGAATAAACAACAGTTTATCTAACAGAATTACTCATCTACTGCATAATTATGATACATGCCAACATCTTTTTTAGAGAAAATCAGAGACTGTAGTTGATTAACTATTCGAAACGAATTGAGTCAGTCAACGCCACTGTTCATTTATGTATCAACTTCATAATCATATTGTTTACTTTTTTTCTCCAAGCTCTCTCCTTCTCTTTTCCATGTTGCTCTATTCCGAAAATTACCTACCATAGAAAATTAACCTTTTAATACTATTCTTCCACTTCAGCGGTATTTTCATTTGTTCTCAAATTTCCTCTGTGCATCTCTAACTATGCAATCTATTTAGCACATGACATTTCAAAATAAAAGGGTCAGGAAAGAAATCTATTTCATGCATCACTACTATTTCATAATTTCTCTTTTTTCATTTCGTAAATTTCCTCTTCCAATTGGGGAGCTTGATTTTCTCATGCGTTCTTCTCTTCATTCTGTCCTAGTAGAATATACAAGAGTAGAATTTTCTGGCAATAATTATATTCTCTTTCAGGCGACAAAAGTTGTCTTCGTTTGAATCTCCATAAATTTTATGTTTCGTTCGATTCAAGATTTACATCAAAAAACATTTTATTACATACAAGCTATCCATGCTTGGTAATACAGAACTTGTGAAGAGAGGCTACTAACATCATAACGACTCTTGTTTCTCGATTGTATCTGGTGTTGGAAAATATTTTGAAAGTTTGTATGTAAATCATTTATGATACGTAGTCACATATTTAACCAATCCTTAATCCTTTTACTTGATCTTACTCAAAGATACTTTATTTTCTAAACTCGATGTATAAGGGAACAATTTCATATATGGGAGAAGTAAAACTAGAAGAGGTGGAGAGAAGGAAGACAGAGATTTTGACCTGTTTTGATACTCTGACAAAGTAAAGCCTATATCCAGTGTATCAATCAAGCATATTATGTGTCCAGCAGAGGTTAGTCAGAACAACAGTAAATTTTGAAAATTGATGCATTCAATCAAGAGAAACAGAGCAAAGCAAGCCTTCAGACACTTCTCGTTTTCATCTTCATTCTCATATGCTTTCAGTCCTTGTTGCCGTAGAATCAATCATTTTGCTGCTTCTAAGCAAATCTTAACTTATAACTCAGTCCTCCAATAGTCCAAGACTATACATAATCGACGTGCATCAATCATCCAGAGGAGCTCTTTTTGGCTCATTCCAAAGTGGGACCACACCACACATTTCATTCTTTTCACACATTTTTTTGAAAGGGTTTCTGGTGCTCATCTGAGCAGCATTCCGATTATTAATTGCCAATTCTTCAGAAATTCTAGCTTACCCCTTTTCTTTGGCTTATTTCTAGCTTGTTCAGGCAAACTCATCCATGAAAATATGCTACGAAACAATTTCTACTTTTTTAAACACAAAAAGCATCCTCTAATCCCTTCTTATCTAAACTAAATATTAAGCCAGTTTAGAACAGTCTAAGAACAATGTAGTGCCAACACCACTGTCTTTTTTTTGGAAATTCTCTGGATAAGGGATAACAT